GGGCGCGTGGCGGCCCCGCCTGGGCCCGGCCCGGCGCGTGAGGAGACCACCGCGGGGCCCGGCCTCCCGGGGAGCTCCGTGCCTGCCCTGCTGTGGTCTGGGGGAGACGCCTGAGCGCCCGGACTGTCACGTCTGTCTGTGGGGGAGGGTCTGCCCAGTTGGAACCACTCAAGCTCCCCCCCACCCCTGCTTTTAATTTTTTTTTTTTTTAAACAAAGCTGCTACCTGACCAGGCAGCCAAGATCTCTTGAAGCTAGAAAGGAAACTCGAGGTGATTCTAGTCCTGGATTCAGGCGGGAGGCAGCAGCTGGGACAAAGTTGGGGGGTCAGCATAGAAAGAAAGAAGGGTGGGTGGGCAGGAGCCAGCTGGTTAAATGCCCCTCAGCCTTGTCTTAATGCTCCGGTCTGGGGGGTGAGGTCCAAGTCCTTATTTTCCAAAAGAAGAGCCCTTTGCACTATTTTTGGGCCTGGTGGGAATAGGGGCCAAACATAGTGGGGTGGCAGTCAGTGTATTAGGGCCCAAGTTTCTAGTTTGAGGCATGTCAGCGTACGAGTTCCCAAAGGCAGGGCTGTCGCACTTCTGTGCGCAGGGTCCCTGAGCCCCATGCTGCGTGGCAGTGCAGCCCCTCTGTGCCCCGGGCCCCTTTCCACCTGGCGGTCCTGCTCCAGAAACTTGGGCCTCTGCAGCAGCATGTATAAAGGGGGCAATGGTGACCTGGCACCAAGCCCTAGTATATTAACCTTTGTAGGCCGTGTGACCCATGGGCCAGCAGTTGGATAGCCTTGGCCTAAGGTATTCTTTATAGATGGATATATACCATACCAAATTAAAGCCTTTTGGATTAGTTTTTTATTAAGTGTTTTTGTTTTTATATTTTTTAATTGTACAGAGGCTTTAAACCAAAATTTGTATTGGTGCCTGTTGCTTGATTTTAAACTTTACAGGCTCCCCAGGGCCATTGAAAGCTGAGCAGCAAGAGCTCTATTTTTAAATTTTTTTTTTGTTGAATTCCTTGGGGGGTTTCTGCTTGCTTTGGGGGGTGAGGTTGTCCCAGACTACATAATTCCCTGTTAGGAAAGAAAGCTCCTGCCTTCATTACATAGCCATGGACTGTGTACACTGGAAAGATTGTCCTGAGAATTAGCATATTATATTTCTATGAAGCAATCAGTATAGCAAAACAAAGCAGGGGCATGGTCTGTAGCTACCTAACTAAATAAATTCCCATCCCACCTTTGAGAGAGGCTGAGTAGGGAAGTACGTAAAAACTTTTGGGGAAAAGGGATTCAGGTTGGGAGAACACAGGAGCAATGCTCAGGGAGAGGGGAGGGCAAATCCCGAGGCAAAGATCAGGTTGAGGGTTTTTTCCAGTTTCTTGCCTTTATGTCCTAGGACAACTCCTGCAACTGTTCTGATTCCTTCTATCTCATTGTGGGACCAAGAGTCCACTGCTCTGAGGGTACAACCTGCCCAACTTTCTACTGATCAAAGGTATGAAGTAGAGTTCTAGGCCTTTTTCTATGTCACATTGAGCTATATCAATATATGGGGAGAGGAGAGGGGCAAAAATCCTAAATTATATAGTATGAGTACAATTCAGTGCAGATGTTGACAAATGATATGTTCATGGGGAAGACCGGGGAAAGGGAATGCTTGAAAAATTCTGAGATGGGAATAAAAACTTACCAGACCATGTGTTAGTGTCTTTACAACTTGTAATATTTTTGTTGAACTTCCTTCAGAATAAGTGTAAATCCTAACCATGCTGGATAAGTTAGTTACTGTTTCTCTGCGTGACATCTCTGCCGGCAGGCCTGTATTGGCTAGGATCTCGTTCTGTAGCTGGTGTAGCTCTGCTGACAAAACCCCAATGTGAACCTGGCTTTTTCTAGGAAATATTTGTCATTTAGGGGAGCTGGTGTAGGTTTGCTGGTAGAAAAATCCACCTGGCAGAGCTACATCTACCCTAATGAAGTGCTCCCACTGTAGTTAAAGCACCTGCAGTCCCTGTAGTGTAGATATAGTATTTTGGCTTGCCTGGATTACAAGCTGTCTGCTGGTGCAAGCTCTGTGCAACAGCTGCCATAGGAAGGCCATCAGAGCACATGTGGCTGGGTGGAGTCATACAGCTCCACTAGAGTGGCTGTTGTGGGAGGGTATTCCACATGCCCTATGAGGCAGCAGCAGTTAAGGGCTGTGGTAGATGGCAAAAGTATGGTTGCCTTTGTACATGATTTCTATTGGCTTCCAGGAAGACTTCTGTTGCTTGCTGGCAGAACTGATGCTACTTTATCAGAACAAAGTGGGGAGTTCTGTTGCTACATGGGGCTATGTGTGTAGGGTAGTGGCCACATTGGTGGGGGTTCTGCCCATGGTATACTGGGGCTGCCTGCATCCATGCAGAAGCTAAGGGGGAGAGGGGTGGTGTGCTGGCTGATGCCGCAGGAGGTCCTTCTGCTGAGTGGGATCTCTGGCCATGGTGGTAGGATTTCCGTTCTACAGTGGTGCTGCTGGTATTGCCCGTGCCAGATAACAATAGGGAGGCACTTGCTGCCTGCCACTGGAAGACTCCATCCCAGCCATGGTTTCTGCCTGTGATGCCACTGTGGTTGCCTGTGCCCCAGCTCTCACAAGGAGATAGGCTGCCAGCGCAGGAAGCTCTGCCACTGTGGCCAGAGCTGGAGGGTGACCCTCAGACATCTGCAAACCAGGGAATGCATCCCTCCAACTCATTTGAGTTTGACACCCCTCTTCTAAAGGAATTATCGGAAAGTTAACTTTCTTCAGAAACAAACTGTAAAAGCAGAGTTAGACAACAACATTCTCACAAGGTTTGTTAGAAAGTTCCACACTTGTATGCATTTGTATGCAGGTATGGGGACCTGACTTTCAACTGCAGGTATTTTTAATACAATGTTTCTAGCCATTATTGTTCCAAATATGAACTGTGCAAATGCAGAATCAGGCAGTACAAGTTTCAGAATTACAGTAAAACATGTCTAAGATGAACTGGAAAAAGTTCTGGCTTAAACTGTTTTCCATATTATATGGGGAGCTTCCTAGCCCCTCTGTTCATGCTCTGTATCATGTTCCAGCCTGTCTGCTCCATGATTTCTATTTCTTTCTCCCCCACTCCTTTTATACACATGCATGCAAGATAAGCAATTCATTACATTTGTGGAATCCCCTTGTGATACGCAGGGTGATTTTTGCAACTGGACTCCAAATTTCCATTTCTGTTTTAGGTAATTTACACCTTATACAGACTAAATATATGTAATTCACGTAAGGCATGCTGGGATCATAGCAGTTTTCTGGCTTTTACAGATTCTGTCTTAGATTTCATAGTTTTTGTTTTCTTTTTATATGGCTGATTCAATTCAAAGATGCTTCTGGTATCAAGAAAATTTCTGAGAAATTTATGAACAGCATTCAATGTGAGCAGCTATGTAAACAAATAAACAAGTAGTGCATAAAAGAAAATGACAGTCACACCCCCAAAGTAGCCAATTGGGGAAACTAATATTGCAGTATATTTTTACTGAGTCCTAGCTAGTGTACTACTCATGCAAAGTGTAGGACAAGGTTATTAAATATGAGAACATGAAAATAAGTTGTTAGAAGTTAATCCATAAGTAGTTGTATGACTGATTACATGTCATTATCCTAGCAAAGGAAGAGTATCCTGAACAGCTTGAATTTCTATAGGGTTTTTTATTGTTTTAACTTTATTTTTTATGTTACAAGGTACAATTTAAAATATTAAGTAAAAGATTCTGCAGTAACAAGTAGAAGAATTTTATTACTTATTACCCATAAAAATGTATTTGGGGCATTTCTTCCTCCATATTAACTAAACCATATAGTTCTCACTTATCTGCGCTGTTCAAGAGATGCTACATTAGCAGTGTGTGATTTAGACTGTACATTTTATGGAAACTTCAACTTGGACGATATCGGGAACTGAAAAATATATATACCGAATCTTTTTGTCATCTGTTGTAGCTGATGCAGTGTAAAATTTGTTGTTTAAAAATAGTTTTGTTTTGTTTTTTTGCCTCCCTGTTATTTTATTGTCACAAGTAATGACAAGCATCTGGAAGAAACCTATAAAAAATAAAGACCTCTGTTGACATACAAGTACCTTAGTAATTAGCAGTGAGGAGAGATGCATAGAAGAGATGAGACTGTGTGACTACAATCAGAATGCTGACGTGGTAGTAGCATGTTTTCAGTTGAACTCATTTGCTTGCTCAAAGATGATGCAGCTTTCAAAACAATAGAGTAGTAATAACTAAAATAAATAAACTTTACAGCTAAAGTGACTTGGAAGCTTTTCTGTCTCATGATTTATAATAACTTTTAAAGCTTCTACTTGTAAGGGAGAAGGTAATGATATTTATAGCAGGATTTCATTCTTGGACACTGATTTGATACTTGCATCTTCATGTCAGCCTGTGGCTTATGGTTGTCTTATATGTAGGGAACGCATCCCCCTTCCACATGCAGGAATATAGAAGGCATTCAGTGTTCTGCCACTTCATGAGCCTCATCCACTGAAATAAATGGTTTTGGGATAGATCGAGACTGTCCAGCTTCTGAGAAAGCTGGGAGTCATGCATCCCATGAGCTGCACTGGTTAAGCTATGGGTCGCGCACTGCATGGATGCTCCCTCCTTACTGCTCTTTGCAGGTATCTCCATTCCCAACACTGCACTGGTCACTCCCCTGCTGTTGCTTTGTCCCTGTGCTAGTGTGATACTTCCCCTACACTGCTGCGATACATGCCCTTTTGAGCAGCTCCCCACACTGCTGCCCCTTGTGCATTTCCTACTCTTCCCACTGCATGCAGTTTGGACTCGCCCTCAACTTGCTACACTGTGCTGCCCTACCTTGCCCAGCACCTTGGGGCAAAGGGAAGAAGTGGTAGCTGGAGGAAGGATGGAGAGCCCAGAGACACTGGCTGTTGGAGCAATGGGAAGCAGCAGCCGAGTGAGAATCTGGGGGCTGGAACTTAAGCCCTCATAGGTTGCATGTGGCCCTTAAAGGGCCAGTTGGACAGCAGTGGGATGAATTTATTTCTGTGCCTCACCCAGCTCTTGTGTTGTAGAACTTCCAGTGAATGTTACATTCTGTAGCTTTCTGAATACCAGCCATTAAAGGGGATGACATCTTTGTTAAAGTCACTCTGCTGTTGCTTGGTAAAATTAGTCCAGTAGAACCTGGATCACTTGTATCTAGGTGTTTTGCAGCCCACTTAATTTGCAGTGGATTACCAACTTAAGTATTTGCTGCTCAGCTGTGTGCTGCAGCTTGTGCTTCAAAGCCTGTCCCTTCTATCACCTGGAGCTCATCAGTCCTGTGCAGCTGATAAGAAAAGACATGCCTTTTGTAATAATAAAAGCTGTTGAAAATAGCAGGAGGATGTCAGCGGTCCTGCACAGCTATTTGATGCAGTTCTGTCTGCTCCCAGTAACTTTGTAAACCCTTATCTTTGCAGGGAGAGAGAGGGAGTTTGGATCCTGTGAAATATCCAGGGTAGAGGCAGTTAAGTAACTAGAGCAGCTTATCCTGCAAAAAGATGCTGCTTTGGTTTGCACTTGACTCCCACTTGTCTATTGTCTAGGCAAACTCCCCCTTTTTTTCTAAGTTAGCCCAATTCTAAGGTCATAATGTAGACAGTGAAAGTTGTGAAAACCCTACCTCAGCCATTTTCAGTACATTTAAAATGCACAGTTTTCTGTGTGCTGTGGTTTTCATAGAGTTAGCTAGTATGCTTTAAAAACAACATGCACATCTTTTACCCTAACATTGATAAAGATTTACTAGTTGTCAGGTCTGGAAATGTCTCTCTTTAAATTTAGGTTCTATAGAATGATTTTGTGGGTTCCTTTACTGGCTAGATACTTGGTATATACGTAAAACGCACCATAATGGCACAGTAACAAAAGATCAGCATGCCGGTGACAGGATGGTAGCTTCAAATTTTAGCAGTTTCATAAATTACCTTGACAATTAGCATTAGGTATTTAATCTGTGGCCGTATTACCAGCATGTAATCAGAATGTAGCAAAAGTCATGTTGAAAATGGTATACTTCCTAATGACTCTTGCAGTTGTGGTGCAACTACTGCGATACAATGAAGAGAATATTCTGCAGAATCATATTTTAGTAGTCTCAGGGCTTATTGCCGTACAGATTTGCCAGTATAACTGTAACGTTAAAGGTAGAGTTCTTCTGTTAAATTTCTGTGTTACTGAACTGTTATAGAATCATAGAATCTTGGAGGACTAGAAGAAACCTTGCAAGGTCATCATGTCCAACCCCCTGCTCAAGATAGGCGTATTACTGTCTAAACCAGGGATGTTCAACTCTCCACCTGTGGGTCAGATCTGGCCCGTGGCAAGCTGTCATCTGACCTGCAGGGTTCCCTGTGACTCTGGAAATTTGACAGTAGGAGAGCAATGCCACTGCTTCTTTGCTGCCAAATTTCTAGACCCCTGGAAAATGCCAGGCCCTGCATGCTATATCAGGTGTTAAGGGACAGTGCTGGGCCCCAGGGCCTGATTCCTACCCAAAACCCCATGGAACTCAGTCTGGCCTGTGGACTGGCTCCGTACTACTCATCTGGCTCATGGGGCCAAAAGCTTGAACACCACTGTTCTGGACAGATGTTTGTCTAAACTGCTCTTAATAACTTTCAAGGATGAAGATTTTACAACCTCTAGGTATCTTGTTCCAGCACTTACCTTACAGTGAGAAAGTTCTTAATATCAGCCTCTGATATGTAAACAAAAATTCCTTTGTTGCAATGTTGTTGCATTATTTCTTGTCCTACCTCCTGTGGCCACAGAGAATAATCTCGCACCACTTTCTTCCTTCAGATATTTGAAGACTGTAAACAAATTACCTCCCCCTCTGTCTTCTCTTTTCCAGGCTAAAGTAACCCCAGTTCTTCCAGACTTTTCTCTTAAGTCATAATTCCTAGGCCTCTAATCATTTTTGTTGCTCTCTGCTGGACTCCTACAATTTGTCCACATCTTTCTTGAAGATTAGTGCCAAAAGCTGAACATGGAGTACCAGGTGATGCCTCACCAGGGCCGAATAAAATGAAAGAATTGCTTCCCTTAAGTTGCAAGTGACAGTCTTGTTTATGCAGCCCAGTATGCTGTCGGCTTTTTTTTTTTTTTAAGCAAGTACACACTGGCTCATTCACTTTATGGTCCCCTGCAACCCTCTGGGTCTCTTTCTGTGGCACTACAGCCTACTCAGTTGTCCCCAGTCTGTATTGGTGTGTGTGATTGTTCCATCCTAAGTGCAGGACTTGTATCCAAGTAGCATATTTTGTCATTTAAAAATACATTATTTAAAAGCTTTAGTACTGAACTGAGCAAAATACTAAATGAGATTAATAAAGATAAGTATGATAGCGCCTAAATACACTCTGTAGCACAGTTGTCTGGCATTAATAGATACTGTCAATATGAAACTTAAAAATTAACATCATTTGACATTGCTGATGTTCACATCATTTATTAAGGTACTTCCTAGATCTGTTAGTACCCTTTTGGATGTTGTAGTAACCTGTTTGGATGCCTGTTTATCTGCTGTTACAACTTGGTTATGTGATGCACCCTGGCACAATTCCACAGACTAAAAATAACATCTCAGTTTCTTCTTGTTTGAGTACAAGTTCTAGGTTTCTTGGCTTTTTAAAGGATTTGTATTAGTTTGTTTACAATGAAATTGTCAAGATGAAAAAAATATCAGAACCATAGTGAGTAGAGATATTTGGCATTTGCTGATCGATGTTTTCATAACTTTGCAGAATTGAAGATGCTGATACTTCTGAAAGAAGTGCAAATGAAGAAAATGGGGAAATATCAGAGGGAGAGCAGCCTCAAAACAAGCACAGCCGGCACAAAAAGAAGAAACACAAACACCGAAGCAAGCACAAGAAACACAAACATTCTTCAGAAGAAGACAAGGACAAAAAACATAAACACAGGCACAAGCATAAGAAACATAAACGGAAAGAGGTTGTTGATGCCTCTGATAAAGAAGATGGACCAGCAAAAAGAACTAAAATTGATTTTTTAGCTCCACTAGAAGATTTGGAGAAACAAAGAGCATTATTAAAAGCTGAACTTGAGAATGAGTTAATGGAAGGAAAAGTCCAATCTGGGATGGGGTTAATATTACAAGGTTATGAGTCAGGTTCTGAAGAAGAGGGTGAAATCAATGAGAAAGTGCGAAATGGGAATAGATCTACAACTAAATCATCAAACACAAAGGGGAAATTAGAGCTTGTGGACAATAAAACTAGTTCAAAGAAAGGAAGTAAGAATACTGAAACAAAAGAGAGGACTAGGCACCGATCCGAAAAAAAGAAAAGCAAAGTAGGAGTTGATGGAGTCAAAGAGAAAACAACTAGAAGCAAGTCAAAAGAGAGGAGAAAATCAAAAAGTCCACATAAAAGAAGTAAGTCCCAAGATCAGACAAGGAAATCAAAGTCTCCAACGCTTAGAAGGCGGTCTCAAGAGAAAAATAGAAAGTCTAAATCTCCCCCAGAGGATAGGAATAAAGCAGATGAAAAAAATAAATCTAGAGATCGCAGAAAGTCTCCAGTGGTAAATGAAAGCAAAAATAGAGATCGTGGCAAAAAATCTAAATCTCCAACAGAATTAAGAGACAAATCCAAAGACAGAAGATCACGGTCCAAAGATAGGAAATCAAGGAGGTCAGAGGCTGAGAAAGAAAAGAAACCTATTAAATCGCCTTCAAAAGATGCTTCTTCAGGGAAAGAAAACAGGTCTCCTAGGAGACCTGGTCGTAGCCCTAAAGGAAGAAGCTTATCTCCAAAACGTGAAAAATCAAGAAGAAGTAGATCTCCTCTCCTTAATGATCGTAGATCTAAGCAGAGTAAGTCTCCTTCTCGGACTCAGTCTCCAGGTAGAAGAGCAAAGAGCAGATCAGCAGAAAGAAAGCGACGAGAATCAGAAAGGAGGCGTCTTTCTTCTCCCAGGTAAATTTTAACTTAAAAAAGTTGAAAACCTTTAATGAATTGCATTATAATATGACGTGCAAATAAGTGCTGAAATTAACTGTTTAGAACTTTATAGGTATCTGTAAAAATGTCATTGTTAACTTGTTGGTAGTGCCCATTAATATCACACCCATAGAAAATGCTTTTTTGTTTTCTTGATTGCCACACCTGCAAACCCAGCTTGGGATCTGGGAGTCAGGCAGGGTGGCTCTTATGGTGCATGCATCACAATTGGCAACAAAGATTCTGTAGTTGAGTGCTTTATTAGGTTGGGGTTTGTTGTGTTTTGTTTTTGTTTTTGTTGTTTTTTTTATCATTCTGTTGTGCCTAGAATTAGGCTATTCCCTTCTTCCTTGTCTGCGCCTGCCCCAGCTACTTTAGCGGTGCCTGCGACTGCTCCTTTAGGAACTGCTGCTGCTTCTGCTACCTTCCCTGCCCCAGGCAGCCCTTGTACTGGCCTCCCTCAACACCCCCGGCAGCATCTTCTACTGGAAGTGGGTGGACACACAGGTGGAGCCATGCTTTGCAGCCCGGCTCATCCCCTCCACCCCTTCTGTATTTATGGGGCTGGCAGAAGGAGATATGGGGGTGGTCACTGCTGTGTGGGACCCTGGAGGAGCAGCCTCAGCAGTGAAAACTGTCCCCCACTTCCCGGTACAGATCAGGGGTTAGGCAGAAGCAGATAGTGGAAAGAAGAGCACAGCAGAGTGAGGTCCTGTTTCTCCTGCCCTTAAGTGGCACCAGCTACAGCAGTGATTTTCCACTTTTAGCCTCAAAGCTCTCCTCCGGATCTTTCCTGAAATTTGGGTCCATCACAGTGACTTTCATTTGGGGTGCTGTAAATGTCAGGAAAGATATGGAGGGGACCCTTGAGGATTAAAAAAATTGAAAACCACTGGTATAGAGACAAATTGTTTCCTTCAAGAAAGATGCATTTAGTGTCATTGTTAATGGTACATCTCAGCACTGTTATGATTTCCTGTGGTAGGAAAATGGAATATGTTTGTTTTGAAAAAATATATGCTTTTTTAGGTGCAAGAGTGAAATGTGCTGCTGACTTTTAATCCAGATGAAAAAAGGTGTGCTCCAGGTATCAGAAGTTTGGGAAGGTTGGATCTGAAGCAGGCCCAGGATCAGTGGCATTCAAATGTTTAAAAGCTACCTTTTGGGGCCAAGCTGTGTTACAGTAGTAATAAGCTTTAGCTTGATTAATTTTAAGGTCCCTTAAAATTGGCTACTGGTCTAGAGGATAAAAGAATTTCCTTTCACTGAGTACCACTCCTGTTAGTAAGGACACTGATAGGGCAGTATTTCTACTTTATGGCTTCCATGGGTGTCTGGCTACAATGGAAAAGTGACAGGAAAAGAAAAGGTTGCCTTTGTTCCCTTTTCTCCCCTTGATTTTGGCTGCTGTGATGAGGTTGACGCACTGTACTATATTTACAAAAAGCTCTTAAATTTTTTTATGATCGTGTTTCCTCACAAATGAGGTATGCTTCTATTGCTGCCCATAGTTTTCTCAACAGAAGGAAACCAATGGGTCTTAACGTTGCCCACAGCGGTGATTTGTATTGCTGTATTTACTAGCCTACCTTACACACTTATTCTCAAAAAATCAGCCCTCCAATATTTGTGTGCAAGTCTTAAATGGGAATGCTGATTTTTTTTTTTCTTTGGAATAGAAACATGGAGGAATAAAAGCATGGAGAGGCTGTGCTGCGGTATGGCTGTTAGCTTCTCTCTGGGATAGCAAACAAACAGGATGGAATCCAGTGTTAAGATTTTCACAGCTGCTGTCAATGGCACCAGGTTTTGGCTGAGCAGTCACGTTTCTGGAAAAATCTTTTTTTTTCTTTCTTTGTACAGTTTGCCTTCCTTATTTTGGTGAGGGTATGATATATGAGAAAATGCAGTAATTAGCAGTAAGGGAGTACATTTAATTGGAGCTGCACCTAGTGGCTAGTGTTGTTGGTAAGCAAGGCTGCTTTTTATGCCAAATTAATTTATTCCTTTTTTAAATAGTAGGTAAGGTCTGCTAGGGTAAATCTTGGATTTTTATGCAGTGCAGATTTGCACTAATATTGGTGCACTGGAGGGTGCCCCCTGATGGTGGTAATTGTTTAAATCCCCAGGGTGCATGTTTACACAAGCTGTTTATTGCAGAGTAGACTAATTAGCTCCACAGCAAATGTCTCATGTCTACACTTGCAGCCCTATTAGGCGGCAGGAAACTAATTAACTCCACAGCAGAATAGTACTTACTAGTAAAAGAAGTAGTATCCTGCTGTGGAGTTTTTTACTCTGCAGCACTGCATGTGTAGATGCTGGAGGGGCTGTCTGGGGCATGAGGGTGCTTAAGTGCGGGGGCTGCCTGCTAGCTAGTCCCACATTGTAGCACCCTCGTGCCCCAGTCAGGTCCTCCACAGCACGTTGAGCTGGGTTGGTGGGTTGGAGATGGCCTGGCTCAACATGTCAGGCACACATTCAAGTGGTGTGCTTAGAAGCAGTAAACTCTGACAGTTATTGCACCAGAGTTTATTGCTTTGAATTAATTACACATGTAGATGCACCCAGTGTTGACCAGATTTTGCTAATTACACTCATGTCATTCCAAATAGTAAAGCATTTAGTACTGCATCATTACCAGCTCTTTTGACTCTCACTTTACCATATGTCTTTTCATTTTGTTTTCCTTTTAAACCAGTTTCCAGTTCATGTGTGTGCCCTAACGTCTTCCATGCTATGTTTCAAGCAAGTTTTAATACAGTCTGTCAAGTGCATAATTATGCAGCTTTTGACAGGTAGCATAGACATGAGATCTCTGTTGAATTACAAGTTTTATAAGAGTTTACAATGGATTATTTAAGCATTATCTTTGACTCTAACAAAAATACACTTAAACATTATTTTAAAATTAAATTTAAACATTAAAAAAGGGGAGTTATTGTTTCATTTTCCATTATATCACCTTACATTAGCATTTCATTACGCCATGATACACAGCTGGGTGGAATCAGTACTTCAGTGGGAGACTTAGAACAAACTCTTTCATGAGAAATGTGTTGGCAGTTCAGGAGGAGGTAGGCAAATATGGTACTCCATGCTGTGGTACACTTGACGGTATTAAAGTTCTATCTCCAAATACAGATTGAGGTAACTCTATTTTGCCTACCTAAATTTCCACTGGTTCCATTTGTATTAAATATATTCCCCAGCTACCTTTCATCAAGATAATTGCCATGTAAATCTGAATTAGCTGCTATTTTTTACACTATTTCAGAGTTGAATGACATGATTTCTGTATAAGGTTGAATATTACTTTGTAATGTAATGCAACCTCCCTCAATGTACAAGTATGTTCCTGTGTGGCTTGCTTGTGAATATTGCTAAATTTACTTTTTGTGTGTGTAAGCAATGCATTTCTCTGGACTATTGAGAAAAGGATTGAAAACCACGTTTTCATGTGTTTGCCCAGCAATTCTGTACACACATCAGTGATACGTAGCTGAGATCACTGACACTAGATTAGCAGACAAAAGCTGTATCATTACAAAATAGGTTTCTATATCTTTCAGACGCGAAAGATTTTTCTTTAATGATGAAATATAGCAACTAAAACAACCCCCTGACCACAGGCAAAAATGTGTTGAGGAATTAGTAAATCTTCCTTATCTACATTGTGGTAGAGGTGTAAGTATATTTTTCTAAGATTTACTTTTCCTGACCAATTAAAGATTTTGGCAATTACTTCAAACTCTTCTATTCTAGAATTTTGCATTGCATTCCTTACAGTTTGAGACTTCAGTTATTGTTTCAATTCAGTTACTGGCGTCAGTTTCTGTTTTTACACAATTCTTAGTTTCAAGTGAATCTGTATAAATCAGTGAGAGATAAATGCTGAGTCAGTGTCAGGGTTGGCAATACTTTTTAACAATGCATTAACATTTCTAGATATTTTCTAAAAATATATTGTCATCAGTTAACTCAAGTGATATCTGAGAAAACAACTTTTTGATTACTCATTTTCATTTATTATAATACAGTCCACATGATGATGATCAGAGCACGGTGAGGGCTGGTCAAGGTGTGTTCTCAAAATGAAAATGGAAGCTAAAGTGGTTGCTCAGGTTCCTCAAGCCTAAATTTGAGTTGTTTTCATTTTTCTCCTCTGGATTCTAACATTTTGATGTTTGTATTTCTATTTTAATACCATTGTTTAAATTTAAAAAATAGATCATTGTTAACTCAAGACCTAAACTCAAATGTAGTAGAGAGCTACTTCTTAGTTCTCTGGTAGTAATTAACAAGCTGTGTTGGCAAAACTGTCCTGTACTTAGACCTGTGTCAGTGCAGGTATTTTCATTCATGAGGGGAGACATACAAGGAGTGTAGCCAGCACAGCAGTGTATTTACCTTCCCTGCCCCAGAAGCCCATTTGTTTGCATCTCCCTTGCAGTAAATTTTTCAAGCGAGATTTTAGAGGAAATAATGGTGTCTTCCATTTTTCTGGTTTTACTACTTTTTTTCTTAATTTCAAGGACACGACCTAGAGATGATATCCTGTCTAGACGCGAGAGATCAAAAGAAACCAGTCTTCCCCGATGGTCCCCGTCTAGAAGAAGGTCTAGATCTCCCATCCGAAGGCGATCTCGCTCACCACTGCGACGTAGCCGATCTCCAAGGAGGAGGAGTAGGTCTCCTCGGAGGAGGTAAAAACAATTCTGCCATCTTTCTTGTGCACAGTATATATATCTTTTTCATGTATTCAAATTGAATAACAGAATATTACATGTCTTTATTAGCTTATCTTTAAAACTCTCACAGATTTCCTCCCATCGCCCCAACAAATTATGCAGTAGCACAGTCTTCAACTCACTTTATCCTGCTTTCAGATGTTAAAGAAGGATAAGAGGGTAAAGTGCTTAATGCTTTCTTGCTGAAGCTTACTTTTTAAGAAGGTTGTGTGTTGTATAGACTGAAATCTATAAAAACAAATCAAGCATATGTCAAAACTAACTAACCCAATCCTTCATCTCTGTTTCACTTGACACTTTTACAATATTGTTCTTGCATTTAATAGGGACAGAGGTCGAAGAAGTCGGTCTCGTCTGAGAAGGAGGTCCAGGTCACGGGGTGGTCGTAGACGTAGGAGTAGAAGCAAAGTTAAAGAAGATAAATTTAAAGGGAGTCTTTCTGAAGGCATGAAAGCTGACCAGGAATCATCATCAGATGAGAAGTAAGAATATATTTCTTATGTCTGACTTAATGGGAAAATGTAATGATATTCATTTTCATGGCAGCTAGAGTCCCAGACTATTGCCTAATTTCAGTACAAGTCTTTATGATTAACTCATTTGTGCTGATCAGAATCTTTTTTGCAGAAATGAAGAAAATGGGAAAAATGTCTGAAGGGAAGAGGGGGGGATGGGTTCAGTCTCGTTGAAGTCACTTAGTGTCTCTTTACCTCAGTTTACTTGCTTGAGAAAACATTGATCATAGCACAAGTGTAAGGCTCATTAAATATTTATAAATTGTTTTAGACACCCCAGTTTAACAATATATATTGTTTTGAATCAACACTATGTATATAGTTATATTTAGCATGCAAATTTTGTAGGAAAAGCAGCCAAGCTGAAAATCTACAAGCTTTTGATTTATTCTGCTCTTAATATTTTTCATGCCTTTGCCAGTAGTGTTCAGTTTGAATTCAAAAATATAAAACACAGAATGTCTAAATATGATGGCAGAGAATAAACTTCCTTAAGGAGCCTCAGATAACCTAATTCTTTGATTTGACAATTCCTTTGTTTTACCTCACAATTGAACAAGTAATAAGACCAAAGAATGAATTTTTTAATATTCCAGTGTTGCTAAAACAAACAAACCTAGGTACTTACCTTGAGATCTACAACTGTACAGTAGACTTCATTGTTTCAACTGTAAACTCTTTAAAGCAGAGAGAACATTGTTTTCTAGGTTCCGTAAAGAGCTATATACATTTATGTTGCTGTATAAATATTAATAATTATCATCTTAGCCTTGAAGATTTTGATGTAGAAGAAGAAGATGAAGAAGCACTGATTGAACAGAGAAGATTACAGAGGCAAGCAATCGTTCAGGTGTGTGATTGTGTTTAATGCTAAGATTACTGCAATTGGTTGTTTGCCTACATCAGTGATGGCCATCCCTTTTTGCTGGTATTACACAAGTTAAGCCCTGACCCTCCAAGAGTGCCTCTCTGATCCCTGTGCCCCAGAGTTGTACCCAATATGGGTTTGTGCCCTGGGGCACCAGAATGAAGGGTTTCCCTGTTCTGGCTGAGTAGAGTGAGTGCAGGATACTGTTGCAAGAGAGGTCTTAGCACCAAAAGCCAAGTTAACTTTTTACTTGGCACCACAACTGCTGCAATTTTAAATGGCAGATTTAAATTCAAAGCCCTGAATTCTGTAGTGGCTGTCAGACCAGGAAAGGGTTAACCTGGTTTACAGTAGTTACACCCAACACCACTTCTCTGCATCTAGTATTTCAGCCTCTTTATTGAGCTTGCCTGGGGCTTGCCACATCTAGGCAGCTGCTTGTGCCACTTCTGGCATGTGTGCTGCAGATTGGCCACCCTTGGCCTACATTATAGACTGTTATGTGTTCTTGATTCTTTTAAGTAAGATTTGTATAATGAAAAATGTCATGATCTCCACTTATGCTAATGAAATTAAGGTTGTCAGAATCTGACACTTATTTTTCATTATGGTTGTGAAATACTATTTGGATTGAAACTTTACATCCGTGTTACAAAAACAACCTAGTCCAAGTGAGTCATTTTTGTGACACTGGGTATGCTTTGGCATATGTATACTGTATATAGCCATAGAATTCTATAGCAATAGTTGTATCAAAGCACACAAAGCTTTTCCAAAGCTTTTTTTCTTAAAGGAAAATGTTTTCTTAAGGAAAAATATAAGTATGGTGCTTTATGAGAAAAAACAAACCTCAGAAACAGTATACCTCAAAACAAAACATTATACCCCAGCAAACAAAAATACCTTAGCTGCCTTCAGAAACATTGCTGACCAAAACCCTAAAATCGGGCAAAACCTAATTAAGAAAAAAGTTTGTAGTGTGTTTAAAGGCACACTAGATTCAGACTTTGGAATCTGAACCCCTCGATGAGCCACCATAGAGCTGAGCCTTGGAAGATGCTAACAAGTTGTTGCCAAGTTGGTTCAGCTTCCAGGAAAGTGTAGAGAGTAATAGGGAGATCATTTCTGTAACATCCCTATGCCATTCAAGACACCAAAAATCTTAGTATTACAAAAATGTATGCGATGAATGATTAGAGACATCTGATTGCAGTAAACTGAAATCTTCCTGTTCAAATATACTAAAATTGAAATAAAGCCACTTTACCAGTTTTCTGCACTTTCCAAATAATATGGAAAGGTCATATTCATATAAAATGTTGAATATTGCAAGCCTTATTTCATTACATAGGGACCAAATTTATATTACTAATATGCTTAATATTGGTATTTTGTCAAACACAAAAAAGTAGCTAAGCTTGCTTTTAGCTTCACCACTTATACAAGGCCTTACAAAAATTTGAATACATCTAAATGCTGAACAGAGATTTCTGAAGGATTAAAAATCAGATTTTAGGTTTTTTTGTTACTATTGTTTTCTCTAGGGCTGTAAATGTCTTTAAAAAATATTTGTTTAACCTCTAATTATATCAGTTAAATGATTAACTGATAACACAGCAGTTTGGACACAGCTGCTGCTGGGAGCTGCTCCTGGCTCCCAGAGCCCTTTGACTGCTAGGAACAGGGGAGGAGGCAAGCCCAAGCCAGACAGCAACCCACCTGAAGCCCTGTGCTGGGAAGGAGGGAGCACCATTCAGCTTCCCTTCCCCCACCACTCCCCTCTTACCTGCCAGACCTGCACCCATCCCAAGCTAAAGGATAACTGGTAAGCTAACTGGTTATCACTGCACTTACTGGTTAAACAATTAATTGTTTAACCTTTTATATCCCTAGTTTCCTCCTATATTACATTTTCTTAAAACAAATTTCTTACCTTATCCAGCAGACAATATACTGTTATTAGAATTCAAATTAAGTGTAAATATAACATTTAATTCAAATATGAGCCATTTAAATTTAAGACAATATATTTACCAATATACAGAATATATTGAGGCTGTGTTAAACCAGAATATTGGGAGTAACATGATAACATTTCTTTGCAGAAATATAAGTACTTGACTGAAGACAGTAACATGTCTGTGCCATCTGAACCAAGCAGTCCTCAAAGCAGCACGCGTAGTCGCTCAAATTCACCAGATGACATCTTGGAACGAGTGGCTGCTGATGTTAAGGAGTATGAACGGGAAAATGTTGATACATTTGAGGCCTCTGTAAAAGCAAAACATAACCTCATGACAGTTGAACAGAATAATGGTAAGAATCTGAAATTGGATGCTGTAATGTAATAATAGAGGTTTGAAGGGGAGAGCATTGCAGCAAGCACAGTCTGCAAAAATTGTAAATAAGTTACCCTAGAATGCCATAAAACTGAAAACTTCTTAAAGATTAAAATACTTTTCCAAAGAAGATAGTGTAAATGGGAGAACTGTTTTCAGCATTGTTAACAGTTTAAGCAATTAGTATTTTGAACTGTGACAACATATGTGGATGCCTTTCTATTGTAGTTTAATTTTATATCTTTAAAGTATTTTTAATTTATGTTCTTCTAAAACTTTCTATTTAGCAAACCTTGAGTCATTTTTGCTTTGTGAATTTTTTAAGGAATAGTTGTCACTGAGGAATGTGCATACATCTCTGAATATTTAATTGTTGCAGCAAAGCCAGAATGGACTTAAGGCAAGGTTGTAAGGGTTTTGCCCTCTGGACAAAATGATTGCTATCATGGCAGGAAGGATTCGTTTCCTCCTTTCCTCCAAAAATAATTATAATAATATTATATAAATATAGGCCAAAATCCTGTTGTGTGGTGCAACAAGGGGAATAAAGAGTACGTGTCTGGTGCATTCTGTGCTATTGAAAATTTTCTAATTAGGGTTGTGGAGAACAACTTGCTTGTCTGATCACAAGCACAGTACACCTCAATTTGCTCCAAGTGGTAGTCAAGTAGTTAGACTCAAGGCACACCTCAGAAAATGCCAGCTGTTAGTTTTTACTCATCTTTTGACTATGGAAAAATAATAAGAGCCATTTTTCTGCTGCAGAGAACCTAGAAAGACCATAACAGGTCAGATTGTTTTTACATAATGGAGTCCTATTTGAAGTCTCTGGATTTATCTTGTAAATCTTGTAGGTGTTTACATCCCCTAACAATGTTTCATATTGCTTGGCACCACAGGTGTCACAGAACCCTGGTTGATAATCACTGGTCTGTATTAATGGTAACCTGTATTAACTTCCAGCTCACAGGACCATGTCACCTGGCCGGTGGGGGTCCCTGTAGGTCTGGAAATGTGGCAGTCTTAATTGCCATGGTTCTGGAAGCTGTGGCAATTAACACTACCACTGCTCTCCTACTGTTAAATCCCCAGACCTGTAAGGGAACCCCAAGTGCTAGGCTGCATGCGCCAGAGGTGGAACCACCACTGGTCTAAACCAGAAGGATGGAACTACAGACTGAGATAGCATGAAGGTTAAGTAGCTTACTGATTATACTATAAGTTGCAGCAGTGGCATGGAGAAGCATGTCATACTTAGCCCTAAAGACCTCTCAAGTCACAGAAGACATTGGGGAGGTGGTAAAACTATTTTGTACTGAAACTATAAGCCAGTGTACACCATAGGGCTTCCTAAAAGAATCCAGAAAAGATTTTGCCCTTCTGTTAAGCTAGAGAGAAAAGCTTTCTACTTGTTCTTCATCCACTTCAACACACATGTATCAGGGGCTACATAGCAGGATTTTTCCTGTATGTGTTTGCAGTCCAGGCAGGTGTCATTTTTTCCATATAGTAGCCATTTTTATAAAAGTGCTTCAGAAAGTGCTTCAATTAGTTTTCTAACATCTGATTAAAAGGGTTTGTCTTTGTTTGATTTTGGGGAGGGGAGGGGGGGAGTGGCATTTTTTCCCCTCAGAGCTGGATGTACTTGTTTGATTTGCTTATTCACAGAGATTGTTTAGTATGGTGTTCGCATTCAGGAGCTTGATCAACTCCATGAAATATTCAAACCCAAAAAATCAAAGTTTGCTAAATGTAAAAGCTCAGTAATAGGATTTATTATAGCTCTCCAGTATGGTTATTTTGCACAGTACACAAACAAATTAAATACTAAATAACAATAAAATATTGTATAGTATTTCACAGTACACAACTAAAAAAAAAAAAAAAAGATTAGGAAAG